AAACAGCCCTCCCCTTGGCCGAGAGGCTGGCTGAACAGCTAATCACAACAGGAGGAGAGTTTTGGGTGGGAGGATTCTGTTTGTTTCCAACAAAGGAAGAGAAGGACAGGTAGAGAGATCTTCAGTCTTCTCTGCCAAGGGGTTCCTAAGCCCATCAAAAATATATGTTTTCTGATGGTTTTTTGCAACCCCCCTGAATCCCCCTCATGGCCACCCAGGGGTCCCGATCCCCAGCTTGAGAAATGCTGTTCTAGAACCTCAACCACCACTGCAAAAGCAAGGGATTGTGGGAGTAGTAGTCCAAAATGCCCAGAAGGCTGTTTGCGACTACTGTTTGAACAGATACATATCAAGAAATGCTTTCTGCCTCTTTACATGCTCAATGAACTCCGACAAAGATCTCTCGGGATGTTTACACTCTGTAGAACTTTACAGTCACTGAAGCCTACAATGGAGGGATGTGTAGCAATCTGTGCTGACAATAGAAATGCCACACATTGCAGGCACAGCTCTACCAGATGTTCAAGCAAATTAAGATTTGCTTTCCAGGTGTGTCAAGCTGAACGTGTTATCAATATTGAATAAGTGTTAAATTTATTTTCATGGAACACGTTGTTCTGCATACAATGCTTTCTCTATTTTTAAAATAAAATATTACCTAGAAGAAATGTTCATGAATGTCAAATACAGTAGATTTCTGCAGGGAGCACAGATTTAAAAGGCAGCATATAATCTACCCCTATAATGAGCTAAATATATGACTCTAAAGACGCAGAAAGAACAGCACAGTTTAATAATAAGCAGGCATAGTTACATATCTGAAAATAGATATATTTGCAGTACTGCCTACCAATCACTGTGTTAAAAGTACTGAAAGTAAAACCAGGTTAATTTGGAATAGACAAAAAATATTTAATAATTAGACCGGTGATTTAATTTTGTTGCAAACTGAGCTTGATTAGACCTCTATTGACATTATTTAACATTACATGGAAAGACCACAAATCTATGCAGATTTCACTTACATAGACCAGCTTCTGCTTCCACAAATAGCTATAGCTCCAACTACTCAGGAGACACCAATGGCCCTCCCTCCAATGACATTGCAAGGTATAGCGAGTGCCATGAACATGTACAAGAGCCCTGCCATTGTCCTCCACAAACACAAGACTGCCCACCACCCAAATGAAGGCTTTCATACGAGGACAAATTCTTATGTGTTTCCTCCACCTTAGGCATCCCAGTGTTTCTGGCTCTCTCAATTGGTGTGGAATTTGCATGTCCCTGCCCACTGCCTCTCCCTTAACCCTTTCCTATTATTTTCTATGGCACACAGCAAACAGAGGAATTGATCAGCAACTGGACATACTAGAGAGGTTTGGGAAGAATTCACCATGATTTATAGGAGTTGTAGGTACTGGGATGTATAGTTCATCTGCGAATTAAGAGCACTCTGAACTCCACCAATGATGGACCTGGAAAAAACTTGGCACACAGAACCCTCATGGCCAACAAAACATACTGGACGTCTTTGGAGGGATTTATAGGAGTTGTAGTTCACCTACATCCAGAATGCACTATAAACCCAAACAATTATGGATCTGGACCAAACTTGGCATGCATACCTGATATGCCCAAATTTGAATAGTGATGGTTTTTGAGGTGAATTGGCCTGGATATTTTGGAGTTGTAGGTACTGGGATTTATAATCCACCTGCAATCAATAAGCGCTCTGAATGCCACCAAAGAGGAAATTGGACCAATTTCACAGAGCCCCCATGACCAGCAAAAAATATTGGAGGCCTTTGCGAAAAATTCAACTTGATTTGGGGGAGTTGTAGCTCACCAACATCCAGAGAGCACTATAAACCCAAACACCGATGGATCTGGACCAAACTCGGCACACATACCTGATATGCTGAAATTTGATTACTGGAGGAGTTTGAGGAGAACTGACCTTCCTTTCTGGGAGCTGTAGTTCACCCACAACCAGAGAAACTGTGATCTCCACTCGTGATGGACCTGGATCAAACTTGGCACACAGAACCCCATGACTAACTAAACCAGTGGTTCTCAACCTTGGGTCCCCAGATGTTTTTGGCCTACAACTCCCAGAAATCCCGGTCAGTTTAGCAGCTGTTAGGATTTCTGGGAGTTGAAGGCCAAAAACATCTGGGGACCCAAGGTTGAGAACCACTGAACTAAACCTACTGGAGGGGTTTGAGGGGATCTACTCACCAGAGGGAGTTGTAGTTTACCCTACAGCCAAAGAGCACATCGAACCCCTCCGATGATGCAGCTAGAGCAAACTTGCCCAACATATCAAACTTTAAGTACTGATGGAGTTTTTCAGGGTTAATCTGGCATGATGTGAGTTGTAGTTCATCCACAACCTTATGCATTTTGTACAATTTTTTAAAACTCACTTTTTCAAATAACCCAGGCAACACTAGTACTAAATAAAAGGAGAAACCTGGAATAGATGGAACACCTGATGCATCATAGAAGGAAATAGAAGGATTGTATTAAATGAAGGATGCCATGGCATAGAACAATCACCCCCAACACTAATCATTGTCCCTTTTTTTATTCAATAAGACAGTGATCGTGGAACCAAGTGGTAGAAGTGTAAGACCTACTGAGGAGTTAATTCAGTCCAAGTCAATCACAGGATATCCAGCAAGATGAAGAGAAAAGCAATAAAGTGGTTGTCACCTGGTCCAGAAATTGTTCGGCAAGTCAGTAATCTGGATAAGCAAAGCCAGCAAGAAGTAAAACAGACTTGTAAATCGTAGCCAGTCCAAGGTCAGGGAAGCACAACTGCCTGAAAAGTACAGCTAGTTGTCAAGAAGGAGGGTTGAAAGCAACAAAACTGTCAGCGAGAAGCTGGGAGATTTACAAGCAGGTAATTAGACACCAAGTTCCTAAGTATGTCACCATCTTTTATTTAATAACCTCTGGGAAGAGCAATCTTTCTTGGTCACTCAATCCAATGGGTTTTCGGTGTCTGGTGCCTCCTTCTAGGCCTCCCCTCTGTCTCAACTTGCAGATCCCTGGACTCAGAAAATCACAAGAGATACAAGTTCATGGCTATCTGTATATTCATATCTGTCTGAATTGTCCAGCTCTTATGGGTGAAGAAGTGCACTCCTGACACAATAAATGGATGGCTCCATTTGGTCACATTTACCAGTAATATATATATTTAATTTATTTACAGTATTTATATTCTGCCCTTCTCATCCCGAAGGAAACTCAGGGTGGATCACAAAGCACATATATGGCAAACATTCAATGCCATTATACACTGACAGACACTTGTACGTAGATAGAGGTTTCTATATAGGTTTTTCCCATCTTCGGCATCTTGGAGGCTTGTGCTTGGTTCCAGCCACGGCGGCGGTGTTTTTGCTCCATCTTCCCTGCTGAAGACCCAAGCTAATGTCATCCAAGTTATGTTTAATAATAGTAATAATAATAAATTGATTTTTACACCCCACCTCCTTTATTTATTTATTTAAAGTATTTATATTCCGCCCTTCTCACCCTGTTGGGGACTCATTTAGACATACAACATATACTCATTTAGACATACAACATATATAGACAAACAGATGCAATTTAACATTCCAGCTTTTCCGGCTTCATGAGGGTATGCTCAGTTCCGGCCATAGGGGAAGTGTCGCTTCACTGTCCACTTGTGATACCAGGTCATTTGATGGAGTACTTCCTCATTCTTCTGCACGCTGCTGGAAGGTTTTATGGCATCGTAAATTAGTTAAACCAGTCAGGGTTGGCTTGACGTGACTGGGCAAATCAATGTGGTCAGTCTGGCGGAGTTGATGGTGGAGAAGCATCACTTCAATGCTGGTGGTCTTTGCTTCTTCCAGCATGCTGACATTTGTCTGCCTGTCTTCCCAAGAGATTTGCAGGATTTTCCAGAGGCAACGCTGATGGAATCGTTCCCGGAGTTGCATGTGACGTCTGTAGACAGTCCACGTCTTGCAGGCGTAAAGCAGGGTTGGGAGGACAATAGCCTTATAAACAAGCACCTTGGTATTTTATTTATTTATTTATTTATTTACAGTATTTGTATACCGCTTTTCTCACCCGGAGGGGGACTCCCTACAGATGTCCTGGTCCTCAAACACTCTCTACTTCAGAGAGTGTTTGAGGACCAGGCGGTGCTGTATTTCAGTGTCAATGTTGACTTTAGTGGAGAGGTGGCTGCCTAGGTAGCGGAAATGGTCTACATTTTCTAATGTTACACCATTAAACTGTATTTCTGGCATTGGAGAGGGATTGACTGCTGGAAGAGCACTGGTTTTCTCGATGTTCAATGACAGGCCGAGCTTCTCGTATGCTTCTGTAAAAGTGTTTAGAGTGGCTTGTAGGTCTTCTTCTGAATGCGCACAGATGACACTGTCATCAGTATATTGGAGTTCTATAACAGATGCTGTTATGACCTTGGTTTTGGCTGATCTTAGAGTATGTACTGGTTCGTAGGGGAAGATAGGCAGGTCCCTGACCATTTAGGGCTTTGTGGGTTATAACCTGCACCTTGAATTGGTTTAAAGCGCTATTGCCTTGCCTGCCTGATTCTAACTGGCATTATCTTGACCACATTTTTTGTTTCCAGTAACATTTCCTTAAAAACAAAAACAAAAACCCAAACCCTGCCAAGACAAAGCCAGGCAGAAAATCCTACTGATCCTCTTTTCCCACCTATTGCAAGGTAAAAAAAGAAAGAAAAAAGCAGCTACTCTTTCTTTTTATTTGCAGTTTGGGCGAGGTTGGCTCTTTTGCAAATCCACCTCCGGGTGAAGACGTGTCCAAAGGTGAGTGGAAGAGGGGGAATGGAAAGAAAGGGGGGGAAAAAGATAGGGAAGACAAAAAATAAATAAAAGAGTCAGCCTAGAGAGCCTGGTCTTTTGCAAGGCACCTTTGGCAGGGCTGTAAATCAGCCACGTGGAGGCCTCTCTTTTATTTTTTTGCTCCTGGAGGCGACTTCCTGCTTCGTTGGAGCAATAAGGAAGGAGAGAGAAAGGAAGAAAAGAAGGAAAAGAAGGGAAATAATATATATATTTTTAAAAAGGGGGAGGAAAAAAAGTTTGCATTTGTGGTTTCAATTTCCAGGCAGAGCAAGGAGCAGCTGAGGAAGGCAGAGAGGAGGAAAAGGAGGAGGGGAGGAGGAGGAAGAAGAGGAGGAGGAGAAGCAGAAGTGAAGCTGCTGCGGAGGGAGGGAGAGGAGAGAGAGAGGGAGAGAGAGAGAGAGCGGGGCTTGGCGCCAGAGAGAGAGAGAGAGAAAGAGGAGGAGGCTGGAAGAGGAGGGAAGGCAGTAGCCCCAGCAGCAGCAGCAGGGAGGGAGAGAGAGAAGAGAGAGAGAGAGGGAGGAAGGGGAAAGCAGCCTCTGCTGCTGCTCCTGCCTCGGGTCTCCTTCCTCGGCCGCTGCGCAGGAGGAGAAGCCTGGGCGAAGAAGGAGGAGGAAGAGGAAGATGCGGCTGAAGCTGGGCTTCCTCCTGCGCGCCGTGCTGCTCCTGGGCTCCTTCCTGGGTCTGCTGCTGCTCTGGTCCTCGCTCTCGCCTCGCGCCGAAGAGCCCAGTCCCCGGGTGAGTCAGGGGAGAAGGGGCTCGCGCCTTTCTTCCTGCACGGAGCGCGCGCCGCTTTCCCTGCCTGGCTTCCCTTTCTGTCTCTCTCTGTGTATCTCTCTCTCTCTCTCTTTCTCTCCTCTTCCAAAAGGGGGCGCCTCTCCGCTGTGGCTCTTCTCCTCCTCCCTGCAGGCGGCTGAGGCCTGTGGCGTTGCGAAGGCCCCAGGAAGCGGCTATCTCGCTCCTTCCTAAAGCGGCCTCCATGCCTTGCCCGCCGGCTTCCTTCCCTGGCTCTGACCCCATTGGGCCATGCTCGGACCATATCATGCCCCCCCTCCCCTTACTCATTATATAGAATCCTAGAGTTTGAAGAGACCCCCCCCCCCAATCCCAGGGCTAATCCCATTCTGTCATAACACAATCAAAGCCCTCCTGACAGATGGCCATGCGAGTCCTCAGATTCAGAACCTCCCCCTTCCCAGGAATCCTATCCCACTGCCCAAATGACAACTCTCAGATTCCATCGCATTGAGCCATGGCAGTTAACAAGTGGTTCAAACTCCATTCTGCAATACAGGAACATAACACAACCAAAGCCCTCCCGATAGATGGCCACGCAACCACCTGCTATGCAATCTACAACTCCCAGATTCCATGTCATTGAGCCATGCCAGTTAACAAGTGGTGTCAAACTCCATTCTGCCATGCAGGAACATAGCACAATCAAAGCCCTCCCTACAGGTGGCCATACAAACCCTCAGCTTCAAAACCATTCCACTCCCCTGGTTCGATGCTATGACCAAACTACAACTCCCAGATTCCATTGCATTGAACCAGGGCAGTTACAAGTGCTGTCAACTGCCTTAGTCCTACCCCATTCTGCAATACAGGATCATAACACAATCAAAGCCCTCCCAACAGATGGCCATGCAGCCTCGGCCTCTGCATTCGTTCTACCCCATTCTGCCATGCAGGAACATAACACAATCAAAGCCCTCCTGACAGATGGCCATGCAGCCTCAGTTCCAACCTCCACCCTCCCAGGAATCCTATTCCACTACCCTGGCTCGATGCTATAACCAAACTACAACTTCCAGATTCCATTGCATTGAGCCATGGAAGTTACAAGTGGTGTCAAACTGCCTTAGTTCTACCACATTCTGTCATACAGGATCATAACACAATCAAAGCCCCCCCTACAGATGGCCATGCAGTCTCAGCTTCTGCATTTGTTCTACCCCATTCTGCCATGCAGGGACATAACACAATCAAACCCCTCCCGACAGATGGCCACGCAAGCCCTCAGATTCAAAACCTCCCCCTTTCCAGGAATCCTATCCCACTGCCCAAATGACAACTCCCAGATTCCATCGCATTGAGCCATGGTAGTTACAACTGGTGTCAAACAGCATTAGTTCTATCCCAACCTGCCATGCAGGAACATAAAACAATCGAAGCCCTCTCGACAGATGGCCACGCAACCTCAGCTTCAAAACCTCCCCCCTCCCAGGAGTCATATCCTACTGCCCACTTTCACAGCCCTGGCTCAATGCTATGCGAGTTTCACTGCCCTGGCTCAATACTATTTGACCAAATTACAACTCCCAGATGCCATCTCATTGAACCATGGCAGTTAACAAGTGGTGTCAAACTCCATTCTGCCATGCAGGAACTTAACACAATCAAAGCCCTCCCAACAGATGGCCACGCAGCCTCAGCTTCAAAACCTCCCCCTCCCAGGAGTCATATCCCACTGCCCACTTTCACGGCCATGGCTCAATACTATGCAAACTACAACTCCCAGATTCCTTCGCATTGAGTCATGGCAGTTACAAGTGGTGTCAAACTACATTCTGGCCATGCAGGAACATAACACAATCAAAGCCCTCCCAACAGGTGGCCATACAAGCCCTCAGCTTCAAAACCTCCACCCTCCCAGGTATCCTATTCCACTACACTGGCTCGATGCTCTGACCAAACTACAACTTCCAGATTCCATCACATTGAGTCATGGAAGTTACAAGTGGTGTCAAACTGCATTAGTTCTACCCAGCTCTGCCATACAGGATCATAACACAATCAAAGCCCTCCCGACAGATGGCCATGCAAGCCCTCAGCTTCAAAACCTTCCCATTCCCAGGAATCCTATCCCACTGCCCAAACGACAACTCCCAGATTCCATCTCATTGAGCTAGGGCAGTTACAAGTGCTGTCAGCTGCCTTAGTCCTATCCCATTCTGCACATACAGGATCATAACATAATCAAAGCCCTCCTGACAGATGGCCATACAGCCTCAGCTTCAACCTCCAGCCTCCCAGGAAACCTATTCCACTTCCCTGGCTTGAGGCTATGCGAGTTGTAGTTTGACCAAACTACAACTCTCAAATTCCATCACATTGAGCCAGGGCAGTTACAAGTGTCAAACTCCATTCTGCCATGCATTAACATAACACAATCAAAACCCTCCCAACAGATGGCCATGCAGCACTCCAGAGAAGGAAGCCACACTTCCAAGAATCATATTCCACTGGCCTCGCTAGATGCTATGCAAGTTGTAGTTCAACCAAACTACAACTCCCAGATTCCATAGCATTGAGTTGTGGCAGTTACAAGTGGTGTCAAACTACATTAGTTCTTATCCCATTCTGTTGTGCAGGAACATAACACAATCAAATCCAATATACCTGGAGGGCCGAAGTTTGTTCATGCCTGGCTTAAGCCATTCCGTACATACATTATATTAATGAAATAGAGACACAATATGAAACGCTCGAATGTGTGTAGACATATATATTTAGAAATATGTGATTTTTTTGCTTYTTTCACAGARTTGGAGGTTTCTTCTTATGTTTGCGCAACACACATATACAGGTTGCAGTAACGTGTCACAGCACCYTTTGGAATGCTTTGCTTTCTGTTATCATTTCAAGTCATCTTTTTATTGATTCCCCTTTGCAGTGTCTGTTGGGGTGTTCCTAGAGGGGCAGTGTATTCATATAGGGCAGGGAGGGTTTTTMAAGATGSATATTGAGCACCTCCGATCCCCAAATTGTCCARAATTGSCCACACAAGTGGCTGAGATAGTGATAGCTGTGCTTCCTCYTGGTTTGATGGATGCAAGCTTTGCTTCGTGCACAAAATTGTTTTAAAAACGTGTCYCAAATTATCTTAAGGCTACGTAAATAAGGTGTGTATGAAACATAAATGAACTTTGTGTTTCGATTTGGGTCCCTACTCCAAGATAATCTCATTACATGTGTGCCAGTATGCAAAGATCTAAATGAGTAATCCAAAATCCAACACTTTCCTGTTCGCAAACGTTTTGGATAAGATATACTCGCTGTGTTTCATTCCAGAAAGGAATGAAATTTAGTTATCTGTGATCTGTGGAGACCCATATGCACATGTTGAATATCCCTTTTTGTATTGATTTGGACCAGAAGTGTTATGGGTTTGGATTTTTTTCATATATTGGCGCATCTATATTTACCTATATGTGCGCAATGAGATATCTTGACGATGGGACCCAAATCTAAACAGTACATTTGTTTGTGTTGTATGCAATATTCGTTTTATACAATACTAGCCGTCCCCCGCCACATGTTGCTGTGGCCCAGTCTGTGTATATGTGTTTTGCGTGTGTATATGTGTGTGTGTATATTTGTGTATATGTGTGTTTGCGTGTGTGTGTGTATATATGTTTTTGCACATGCATTGTAATGTAGTTTTTTTGTTTTTTTAAGTCTTTTTTGCTGTGTTTTCAGTGTTTTTATGAGTGATGGTCACTTGTTGACCTGATAGGCGTATTGTGTCCAAATTTGGTGTCAATTCGTCCAGTGGTTTTTGAGTTATGTTAATCCCACAAACAAACATTACATTTTTATTTATATAGATTCTTAATCAATTTGTGCATGCAATAATGTTTGTGTACACTGATTTATAAGAAAGCAAAAGTGTCTCTATGACACCCACCAATGTGGACAATTTTGTAATTTTTTGAGTTGTCAAACGCTTTCACTGGGTTGCTGTGAGTTTTCCGGGCTGTATGGACATGTTCCAGAAGCATTCTCTCCTGATGTTTTGCCCACATCTATGGCAGGCATCTTCAGAGATTGTGAGGTTTGTTGGAAACTAGGCGAGTGAAGTTTTCCACAGATACATAAACCTCACTTGCCTCGTTTCCAACAAGCAAGTGAGGTTTATATATATTTCAGACGTGGGCAAAATATCAGGAGGGAATGCTTCTGGAACATGTCCATACAGCCTGGAAAAATCACAGCAAGTCAATTCTTTGAGTATTTTGGAATTCCAGATAAGTGATGCTCAACCTGTGTTGATACAAAATATTTGGCTAGCCCAGGTCTGCATTCCTCATAAATACGCATTAGAAGTTCACGTCATCCATCAAGTGTTATACTTTTAACTTCAATGATATGAAGTCTCATTTAAATTTAATACTAAGCAAGAAAACAAGAAAATAAATCACCTGGGGTCTTTGTGCTGCTATCTTGTTTAAACCAGGGCATCTCGCCGTAGCATACGAAGTATTTGCTCCTCAACAGGTATTCCTGGCATTGTATACAATGCACATTTATTCAGAAATGAGCCTAACTCCATCAGTAGGACCTATTTGCATAAAGACAAAAAGTGTACCTAGGTCCTTCTTTAAAGAAGATTTGGGGAGTGTACCAAATGGCTGCCACAAGTCCCTCTTTCTTAATGTCACATTTGCTTTGGGCATGATTAAAACAGGTTTATAATTAATAGCCCGCAGTGTGAATTCTGTGCTGATAACAGATCTTTGTTAGACTTCCTATTGCTTCTTTTTAGCCTGTACTTCTGCACAAAAATAAATTCAACAGATAGTGCAAGAAAGATTGTTGTTAAAGGGACACAAATTTGGCCATCAAAATAGGTAGCTGTATTTTAGGGATTATATATTTTTCAAATTTTTACAATTCTATAAATGGGAATTTTATACGCTGTTGATTATACTTATTGTCCTAATGTATTGTTGTCT